CGTAGGAAAGAGAAATAGAAGACGAAAAAGGGAAATGGAGAGGAAAAAAGGAAAACGGGGAAAAACATATAGAAAAAGGGAAAAAAAGCAAAACGCGAAAAGGGAAAAAGCAAAACGGAAAAAAGGAAAAACAAACAAACAAAAAAAGATAAAAGGGAAAAAAGGAAAACGAGAAAAGGGAAAACCGCGAAAACGGAAAAAAAGACGAAAAAAAGGAAAACGGGAAAACGAAAAAAAGAGGAGTGGAAACGGGCGCAAAACGAACAACCTAAAATACAAGAGATGGCGGCAGACACGAGACATAGATAACGACAACATTTTCACACGGCCATTGACAAGTCGCCGAGTGCCTCGTCGTGGCTTTTGGAGGCTTTTGTAATCAGGGAACCCATTGAGAGATAACACTATCTACGAATCTGCGAAAGAGGTGCGAATAAATATAATATATCCAAAAAAAGAGTCCAATCCGGCCAAAAAAACAAAAACAAACAAACAAACAAAAAACTCTTAAAACAAATAAATAACCGCAAAAAAAAAACTCGCTCCTTCATCTCTCATAATCTTTTCTCTTTCGCTTTCTTTTTTATCACCACTTGCATCTCCCACACTCCAGCGTGCGACCGGGGGCGACTGTCACAAGTGGGTCTCCACGCTTATCAGGCCGCGGCATCCTTTAGCTGATAAAACGATTGCTTGTAAAATGATAAATACATACCCCTCCCCCTCCCCCCCTCCCCATACCCCTCCCTCCCTCCTCTGCCCTCCTCTACCCTTCCCACCCCCGTCCACTGTCCCTTTCCGAACGGGGGAGGGATGAGGGGGGGGGGGTGAGGGGATTGACACAACTGCCACTTAACTACTGATAAGTTCCCTGTCTGGAATAATAGCATGAAGGTTTTATAGCCTGTGTGTGTGGAAGAGGGGGGGGGGAGGGAGGAGAGAGAGAGAGAGAGAGAGAGAGAGAGAGAGAGAGAGAGAGAGAGAGAGAGAGAGAGAGAGAGAGAGAGAGAGAGAGAGAGAGAGAGTGGGTGAGAGAGAGAGAGAGAGAGAGAGAGAGAGAGAGAGAGAGAGAGAGAGAGAGAGAGAGAGAGAGAGAGAGAGAGAGAGAGAGAGAGAGAGAGAGAGAAAAGAAAGAGTGTGTGAGATAAGAGAAAGAGAAAAGAAAGAGAGAGGAGAGAGAGAAAAGATAGAGAGAGAAGAGAGATAAAAAGAAAGAGAAAAAAGAAAGTGAGTGAGCGAGTGAGTGAGTGAGTGAGAGAGAGAGAGAAGAGAGCGAGAGAGAAAAGAGAGAGAGAGAAAAGAAAGACAAAGAAAGAGAGCGAGAGAGAAAGAGTGTTTTCCTGTATATGCGCCCACGTGCGTGTTTATCCTAGCACTTACGTAACCCCATCCTCCTCCTACCCCCTCCCCCCGGCCCTCGAGCCACGGCCGAGGTAGCACTGCACCAGGAAAGTACCATTGCGAGGGCTGTTGGATTTACGTACATCATGGTTTCTCTGCTTCCCTGTTTCACCTGCTTATCTCCCTCCCTACCATGGCGCCTGTTCACCTACCTGCACATCTGCCTCCCTGTCTGCCTTCCTGTTTGCCTGCTTGCCTCCCTCCCTCCCTGCCTGCTTGCCTCCCTCCCTCCCTGCCTGCTTGCCTCCCTCCCTCCCGGCCTGCCTGCTTGCCTCTCATCCTCCCTACCTCCCTGCCTGCCTGCTTGCCTCCCTCCCTCCCTGTCTGCCTGCTTGTCTCGCTCCCTCCCTGCCTGTCTGCTTGCACCCTCCCTACCTGTCTGCCTCCCTCCCTGCTTGCCTGCCTGCCTGCTTGCGCCGCGTCAATCAATGGAGCGCAACCGGGCCCGCGCCTGGCCAGCGCCGCCCGCACCAGAGGCATTTTCTTTCACAAAATCCTCAACAGCCAAATCGCGTCTCTTTCTCCTCGATCGACAGGTTGGTAAAGGGTGTGCATTTACAATTTCTAAGTATATATTGGGGTTGTAGCACTGAGGAAAGCCGGCGCCTGCGTGCGTGTGTGCGTGTGTGTGTATGTTTACATGTATACATATATGTATATGTGCCCGTGTGTGTGCATACACACACACACACACACACACACACACACACACACACACACACACACACACACACACACACACACACACACACACACACACACACAATCGCACACAAACCGTAAGGTATTCCCCAAGGTACGAGACAACGAGCGCGCCTTTCATACCAAAATCTGCCCAGCCAGCGCACCCAAGAGAAACGGGGGGGGAGCGGGAAGGGGAGCGGGGAGGGAAGGGAGTAGGAATTTCCTTGCTTGCGCCCGCCTCGTGGATTCTCTCTTTGGCTTCCTCAGTGCTGCAGAGGTAATTACACCGAAAATTGCATTCTTGGCCCGAAAACTTTTCCCATGAATACCCACCACGATGCGCCGGCACAAGCTGTCGATACGAAGGAGGGAGGGAGGGAGGAGAAGGGGCAAGGGAGGAGGGAGGGAGGAGAAGGGGCAGGGAAGGAGGGAAAGAGAAGGAGCAGGGAAGGAGGGAGGGAGGGAGGAAAGAAGGAGCTAGAGAGGGAGGGAGAGAGGAAAAGGGGATGGAAGGGAGGGACAGGAGGTAAAGATAGGATAACGGGGGAGGGGTGGAGAGAAGGAGGGGAAGGAGGGGGGACATGTGACAGCAGAAGGTGGGCGTCAGGAGAGGTTGGGGAGGGAGGGGGGGGAGATAAAGCTGTGTCAGGAATTTTAAAACGGAGGCTATGTCGAGGCACAGATCGTGGCATATGATGTCATCGTCTCCTGGAAAAATACTAGAATGGGGGGGAGAAGAGAAAGGGGGAGAAGAAGTAAGGAATGTAAATGGAAATAGGAGTAAGGGAGTTGAGGAAGGAAGTGGAAGAAGGGAGAAGAGGGGAAGGGTGGAGAAGCGGAGGGGAGGAGGGCGGTGGTTGGAGAAAGGAGGGAAGTGGGAGGGAAGATAAAGAATGCACATGGAATGATGATGGAGGCTGGGAAGAGGAAGAGGAAGAGGGGAAAGAGAAGGTGGAGGAAAAGGGAGTTGGCGAAGAACAGAAAGGGGAGAGTAATAAGAGAGCAGAAAGGCAGGAAGGTGGGAGAGAAAAGAAAGGAAAGAAAAAGGCAGCAAATAGGTTACGGTAGGTCAAGAGTCGAGCGTGAAAGCTGCAGATGCCTTTGAAAGCGAGCGAGAGAGAGAGAGAGAGAGAGAGAGAGAGAGAGAGAGAGAGAGGAGAGAGGGAGAGGGAGAGGGAGAGGGAGAGGGAGAGGGAGAGAGAGAGAGAGAGAGACAAAAGCTTCCGCTCAGTAAAGCCGAACACCAGCTTCACGACCGTCCGAACACACTCCGTCCCTTCGCACAACCGAATTGCCATCCCACCGAATCGGACAATCGGTCCCCTCAACGAGTTTCGAGACAGGAGTCTCACCCCCCCACCCCCCCACCCCACCCCCACTCTCGGGGTCTTCTCCGGCAATGCGCACGAGAGCATCGCCGAGGGTCAAATCGCGGAAAGTGGAACGGTCGGTCGGTCGGTGCGGAAGAAAGCAGTTGCGGGTTCGCCTCCGTGCGCCTTTCTCGTGGCTTGCGGGATCTGAGAGGAATGGCGATGCGCCACGAACCAGCTCGTAAATGCATGAAAGAGAGAGAGAGAGAGAGAGAGAGAGAGAGAGAGAGAGAGACAGAGGAGAGAGAGAGAGAGAGACAGAGAGAGAGAGAGAGACAGAGAGAGAGAGAGAGAGAGAGAGAGAGAGAGAGAGAGAGAGAGAGAGAGAGAGAGAGAGAGAGAGAGAGAGAGAGAGAGACAGAGAGAGAGAGAGAGAAAGAGAGTTGAAAGACAATAATACCCCCTCCCCCCCGAAAAAAAACAATTCCACCCGCCTACCTTTTCTCGCTCCTACGCCTTACCCTTCTCTTGTTCATTCACACATACCCACCCCTCCCCTCCCCTCCCCACCCCACCGAGACAGATACCCGAGCCAAGCCAGGCCGAAAACCCCGATGCCGCATGCGCCCCTTTCCGACGATGACGTCCAGCGGCGCGGCATTTCGCTCTCCCCCCCCCCTCCTTACATTGCCCTTCCTCCTCCCCCCTCCCCCTCGCCTCCTAAAGACCTTGACCTTGCCCGCCGCTCGCCCCGCGCTATCAAAATCGCGGGCCTCTCAGAAGGTATCCTGCAGCAATAAAAAAAAGCGACAACGACGACATATCAGCTCGTATCTCACGCGATCAAAGACGCGTAATCAAGATAGGACAATAATGACGGGAAAAAACGCCAATGACGATAGCAGCGCCGGCGACAATCACATGTATAAACAATTAGTGAATGCAGCGGCAGCGAAAATAAATAAATAAAAAAAGCAGGACACAGAGCCAGAACTGCAGAGACGAGATCACCACTCGACCCCCGACAACACAAAAGCTGGGCGATGTACACTGACTGACGAGGCGTAAGAGAAGATCGCCAGTCAATTGCAATATAGCACAGGTCCCCCTCGCACTCAGCTCTCCACGCACGCACGCACGCACGCACTCGCCTCGTGATCCGCACACAGGCATGCGTTCATTCAAAAAACTCACAGCGCCTCTTTGGAAAGTGATCTTGTAGCAAAATAAAGTGGAATACATTGCATGTTATTCATTTTTGACACTTATCTCATCCTGCGCATTGACGGCGCCTCACGTAGTTTACTGAATGCAAAGAAAAGAACCAGAAGAAAAAAAGCAATAACAGTTTCATGACAAGATCAACGATGGAAAAAAAAACAATAACATATGCCAAGATACAAAAACAACACAAGAAATTATATAAAAACGCTCCTCACGCACAAACGGACGTACGTCGAAACCAATCAACTACAACATAATAATAATAATAATAATAATAATAATAATAATAATAATAATAATAGTAATAATAATAGTAATAATAATAATAATAATAATAATAATAATAATAATAAAGCCAATAACTCCAACAACGACACTTAC